CTCCGCCAAGACTGCCCTTTGTCACCGATTGTGTTCATAACCTTTATGGACAGGATTTCTAGGCGCAGCCAAGGTGTGGAGGGCATCCGTTTTGGTGGCCTGAGGATCAAGTTTTTGCTTTTTGCAGATGATGTGGTCCTGTTGGCTTCATCAGAACGTGATCTCAGATGAAGCAACTGGCATGAGAATCAGCTCCTCTAAATCTGAGATCGTGGACTTGGTTCAGAAAAGGGTAGAATGCCTTCTTCGTGTCAGGGACGAGGTCCTGCCTCAGGTGAAGGAGTTTTAAGTATCTCAGGGTCTTGTTCACAAGTGAAGGAAATATGGATTGACAGGAGGATTGTCATGTAGGGAATGTTTTACCCAGGACACGAAAGAACCACACACGGAAACGAGGGTAAGTAAATAACAAATAATATTTATTAAGATTGGTGCGTAACTAAAAGCGCTGCTCCAGACGGGAACAGGAGGGACCGAGATCTAAAACGGGAAAGCAAACAGGTGTTAGGACAACGAAACCCTGGAACCAGAGAACCAAAACTGGAATTGTTTGGAGAGCTATTCTTACTGGGGATGATCGGTCTTGGTGAGGCAGAGCTGGGTCTTTGGGGCCAGGTGGGGACAGACAAGCAGCAGAGAATGAGGATCCAGGACGGGATGAGGAAACAGGTTGCGAGGCAGGTTATGATGCAGGTCCGGAGGCTGGTGGTTAGGCAGGCTGGGAAGCGGACAGGACGACAGGCGGGCGGCGGAGACCAGGGGGACGGTGAGCGGCTTGATGTTGGAACAACTCCAGACGGCGGTGTTTCATCTTGTTCTCTCTATAAATTACACAAGATGCTCAGTTGACTTTTCCTCGTCCGAGGCAAACCTTTATTGAACACTCAATAATCAGACATGTGTGTCCATCTCTCACCCTCCGGTGTTACACTCTCTAGACTCCGGGCGGAACACACGATTAAGAGCAATTCTCATTGCTACATCCCTTTTCTTTTACAAAGACACTGAACTTTTCATTCGTTGAGAACTCCGTATGCAACTGGCACAAAACTTAGACATGACATTTCTTTGTTGAACCCAATTTCCCCCCAGAAGTAAAAATTTGTATTTACTTTTTTTTTCCTCCCCACTAGTAAACAGATCACAAGCCCTACCTCCAAATATTATCACAGAGGTGCTGTTCTGTTCTCTAACCAGTACACAAATCTCCACATATAACTCAACATCATTCTACTTTTCTTTTTCTTTTTTTAACAAATCTCTACATATAAGTCAACATATCATTCTACTTTTTTTTTTTAAAAGAAATCTCAACATAACTCGTATAATACCCTAATTGCATACATAGTCCTTCAGATATCCGGGTTGTTGTACCACCCGTCCTGACCTGGTAGTGCTGATTTGTATGTTCCCCTCGTTCTGTGTCAGCCCAGTAAGGTTCTGTCCCTCTGGCTGGGGATGTGCTGACATGTCTTTTCCGACCTCCGCAGCTCGCCTCAGATGGCGACGATTCCTTCTGAGGACTCTGCCATTGTCCAACTCCACATCATAGGATCTGTTTCCCCGAGTGTTACACACTCTAGCCTTGGACCATAAGGTGTGTTGTTCAAAAGGTTGGACTCTCACCACGTCCCCTGGGTTTAATGTGTCCATGTCCTTTGCCGTCCTGTTGTAGTACTTTGTTTGTCTCTCTGTGTTTTTCCTCAGTGCCAACCTGTCATCAGACACTTTGGGTTGCAACAATCTGTCTCCTATTGGTAGGAGTGTCCTCGTCCTCCTGCTTAACAGTCTCTGTGCCGGGCTGGTAGTCAAACCTTGTGTTGGGGTGTTTCTGTGGTCCAATAAGGCCAAATATGGATCCTGTCCAGCCAATTTTGCCTTTTTCATGAGTCGTTTGGCAGTTTTAACCGCAGACTCCGCTTTGCCATTACTCTGCGGATAGCCCGGGGATGAGGTATGGTGTTGAAATTCCCATTTCCGGCTGAAGTTGGCAAACTCTGTCGAGCTGTACTGGGGCCCGTTGTCAGAAAACACAATATTTGGGATTCCCTGACGTGCGAAATGAGCCTTTAGTTTCCTAATCACAGTACTCGACTTGGTATCTGGTAGATAATCTATCTCCCAAAAGTTGGAGTAATAATCAACTGTTATTAGGTAGTCCCTACCCTCAAAGCTGAATAAATCTGTCCCAACTTTGGTCCATGGTCTGGTGGTCGGCTCGTGTGGCTTTAGTGTCTCTTTCTATTGTCTTGCATCCACAGACCGACATATGTCGCATGTAGCTATGTACTTTTTGATGTGGTCATTCATACCGTGCCAGTACTTTGTCCGTCTGCAAGACTCCTCAGTTCCTCTTTCAGTGGTTTCATCATCGACACTGGGACTCTTCGTTTTGGCAGTTTGACGGGCTGCACTGTTGTGTCGATTTCCAGCTTGTATTCCCCTTGTAAACATCCATCTCATGTAAACACATCCTGAAACTCAGTCTTTATCTCTTCCAACAACCATGTGTTTTTCTCTGATGGAGCTGTTGTCACTGAGCCGTCCAACGCCCAGATGTTATCATACTTAACTTGTATTAGCTTCATCGCTTCACTAGCTGTTCTCCCAAGTAGAGGCGTTTTACAATCCTCCTCTACCACTTGGAACTCGACTCTGTACTTTTTGTTGTTTCTTGGGTTTGTCAGCTTGACCTTACACTTTCCTAATGGGCACAGCCTTGACTTATTGTACATCACAAGAACCTTGTCTGTGTGCTCCATTTTGACGTTCTGGTTCAACATGTTGATGGGAATAACGTTGCATGTTGCTCCACAGTCAACTTGAAACTTGACCAGGCAGTAGCGGTTTTAGGCACGGGCAGACAGGGCAGTTGCCCGGGGCGGCATTTTTTCATGACACAAAAGGGGCGCACAAGCGCTGAGTAAAAAAAAAAAAAAAGGAAATCTGCGCCGCACCGAGGTTTTCTATTATCTGTCATATGACAGTGTCTGGATTGGAAACAGCAAGTTGGCGCCCCCTGCAGCTGCAGGCGCTCCTGCTGACTGAGAACGTTCACGTGTACCGTGTGTCTATGAAGAACAGGAAGGGGAGGGGTGCGGCGGGGGAATTCACCTCTGCGTCTTTCCCAAATGAAATGAGCGTGCAGGGGCTGAATCAACTGTATTAACATGGCTAAAGTCAATCACATCTTAACGTTCTTCCATTTTTCATTCATAATATCATAAACACAGGCCTTTCATTCTTTCAGGTTTCTCTGAATTGTGTAAAATGGCCGAATAAAAAAAGGAAAAACAAAACGATTTTGTGGTCACCCCCCATCAAAGTCAAATAGTTTAGTCCTGACTAAAGGAAACTTACTGAGTCAGGAGCCAAACAGAAGAGATGAACATAAAAAAGGCTAAAACCACCAGTTGCCCCATTCAGGGGGAAAAAAAAGAAAAAAGAAGAGAAAGATAAAGGTATGTAGCTCTCATGATGCATGTTTTCAATTTTTTGAACCAGTTAACTGGGATTTTAACGGTTAAATGTGGTCAACTAATTGCTAACAGAGCTAATAGGGCTGAAATATTGAAACGAATATTCAAATGGTTCGAAAAAAGTCCTTGAATCGTTTTTTACTGATTCAAACTAGGATTTGTTAAATGCTCACTGCAGCCTGTGGCCTGCCTGAACAACAACAAACACATGTTGATCATGTTCACATAATAATAAATAAACAACTCTACAAGCAGAAGAAAACTCCCCAGTCACCACTAACTATCCTGTTTATTTATTGCAGATGGCTGCACTGATTATTTTTTTACATGATTTGTTCTGTAAAAGTTGGCATTTTTGGTAGTCTACAGTTTTTTATGTCAGTTTAAATTACAATTTCAGAGGCCATTCTAAAATATTATGGATCATGAGATCTATTGGAGATCTACCCCAACTTTTGGACTGCTCTGCCAGTCTCTGTGGCTCAAGCTGAGAGGAGCTTTTCAAAACTTGATCAAGTCATACCTGAGGTCACCTATGTTTCAGGGGCGGCTCACTAACCTGTCTCTGATTAGTATCAATCACTCAGTAGGGGAGCAGATTTCATATGATGACATTATTGATGACGTTGCATCAAGGTTAGGTTTTAATTTTAGTTTGTGTTTTCTGTTCTAAGTGCAATGCTGTAGTGATTATCTTTAGTTTGTTATGTGTGAAATATTTTTGCTATTTAGAATATTTATTATATATTATGTTCATATATTCTTAATATTTAGTTATTGTTTGTTTTTGTATATTTGATTCTATATATTGTGATACAGTATATAATGTATATTGCTTTACATTCTGACAACTTCATAGTAATTAATGTAAATATGTGCAACTTAGAAAAATGAATGTTCAACAGTCGTTCTAATAAAACATGCCTGTTTGTAGAAAACATGCGTGTGTTCATGCAGGTGGGGTGGTGTGGTGGTGGGGGGGGGGGGGGGGGGCGGTTGGGGGTGGGGGGCGCTCAAAGGGGGCCTCGCCCGGGGAGTAATTCGATGTAGAACCGCCACTGCACGTAACCAACGCAATTGCGTCATGAATATGCAAATTAGAACGTTGCGACCTCTAGTAACCTCTGAGCAAGCGTCAGCAAGGCAGATCAGAACGCTTCATAGAAGCACGTGATCATAAGCTTTGATACGTCATACAGAGAACATCATTTCTTACTACAAGTCATTGTTGGTCAGAGCACTCGACGCGATTTTAAAATGCAATACGATATAGAAGAATACAACTGGGAGTTGAAAAACAAAATAAGCCAAACTGAGAGAGAAATTCAGAAAGTGAAAGATGAAATTTCAGCATTTAGAGAAAAATCTGCTTTTAAGTATAAAATACGAGAAGCCAAACATGCAGAAAATATGCAACAGAGAGGCTTGAAACATGATGCAGAAATGAAAATCCTCCATCAAAAGATTTCTACTCTAAATAAACTCGTTTTAGAGAATGACAGTCGAATAGCAGCGCTCAGAAAGGAAAATGACAACCTGAGCGTTTACAGAAAATTAAAAGAAAAACGCGATTTTGACACAAAAAAGATTGAGCGACCTCCGAACAGACCTGAGACTGATAGAGAAAGGAAGATCAGCCAGTTACATAAAATGAGTCAGCTAGCTTTGAAGGACGCCTCAACACAAAGTAATGATGAAAAACAGGCTGCATTGGGAAAAGATAATGCTAGATATAATATTTTAATTCAAGAAAAGATGCGTTTTTGTGAAAACATGACAGGGGAACTAAAGAAAACAGACGAGAAATTATTAAAGGTAGATGAAAAAATGGCTGAACTCAGGCACATCAGAAGGCTGCAGTAAAGTGAGGATGATTTGAAACAAGAAAGGGAAGAAGCTTTTGTGTTAAGATCTTTTAATCCAGAGACGAGAAGAATAATGAATTTATTTCCCAGGGAGGTACCGATCTCTCAACCAAAAGAGGCTGATGTAAAGAAAAAAGTTAGAGATCCAATGAGTTGGTTACGGGAATAAGAGGGTTAATCCCACAGTAGGGGTGTCATTTTTAAACACAGATGAGGGGAAAGTGTCGAAGGGGCATACTAGCTCAGGCAAATAAACACGAGCTAAACTTTCTAGGGTCATGGGTCGGGTTGGGGTTGGGAGAGATAAGGCTGAAAGAGAGATGCTAGATCTTACCTTACTGACTTTGTCTCTGCGACACCAGGTTGGAGTAATAGACAACCCTCGCATCTCTGACTACAGAGTTAACGGATGTCAGAAGGTGGACGGGGAGACGTGTTTTCATACACAGGCTACAAATGCTGTAATTGAGCCTGGGA